TACTTTTGCTTATAACTATAAATATTTCATACCAAACTGATGACAAACACTATTTTTGTTGAAAAGGTCTTGCACTTAAAAGAAAAAGCTGTAAAACCCAAGGCACTAGGCCACAACCAGTACCAGATTTTATGAAAACAGAGGAAAAAATAAGATCTCGTTTCAAAACACAGCATACTTGAACTAATCAATCTGAAAATAGTACTGTAACTCAAAATCTTTAAGATAGGAAATAAAAGTACATATATGTATATCTTTTAAAATTTTTTCATAATTGAAATTTCTCTTTATATTTACAAAAATGAAATTAAGAAACAGTGACAACAGCAGGATTCCTGGTTTTTTTTTTTTTTTCTTTGAGTAACTAATGCCAATAACCTGAACAGAAATTTTCAAATTTTTCTTTTGGTATAATTATGTTCTTGAATTAAAGTTATGTGTGGAACATTAATAAAATATCTCCTCAATTTCAAAATTATGTTAATAAAAAGCAACTTTAATGTAAGTCATGTTTCTTGAAATCACTTCTGTATCTAAATAAAACGTACTGCTATTTTGAAGAACATTCCTTTATTAATATCAATGTGAGGCCCTAGACAGTGCCTGGATATACCAAGCAAAAACTTGAAGTTCAACACTTTTTAACCTGACTTATAGAAATATTTAAGAAAGCAATTAACCCCTCTTCACATGACAGTAAGTAAACAAATACGAGCAATTTAGGCAGGAAAGCTGTTCATGGGTCTCATAACTAAAAAGAGGGGAGTTCTACACAAGGTAGCATTCTGCTTTCATGTGAAAATAACAGAGCTAGCATGAAACAAGAACAGTAGAGACCAAATAATTTACAAAAATAGAAGCCAAAGGGCCGGGGAGATGGCTCAGTGGAATAAGCACATCCCTGGCAAGCGCAAGGACCTGAATTCAATCCCCGGTTCCGCAAAAAAAAAAAAAAAAAAAAAAAAAAATAGAAGCCAGATTGGTATTTTTCATCAAGTATATGCTTATCTTAAAATCTTTGCTCCTGAAGTACATTTGGCAACCACAGTGATTAGCAGTTAATTGCTTTGACAGCCCAGCTCTTCAGGCCTGTGGAAGTTGGTCAACATCATCATCACTTAAATGCAAATTAAAACCAAAATGAAATATTAGCTCACAACCATTAAGATGGCTGTTACAAAAAAAAATAAATAAATAAACAACTTTAGATATGGAGAAAGGAAACTCCAATATACTGTTGGTAGGAACCTAAATTAGCATATCCATTGTGGAAAACAACAAGGAAGGTCCTCAAAAAATTAAACCGAGGAACCCTAGTTTTAGATATAAGTTAAAGCAAGGGTCTTCTTTCTTTGCAGTATTCTATGCAATAGCTACAACACAGAAGCCATCTGAATGTTCATTGGTAGATAAATGGGTAAAGAAAACGTGGTATACAGATGGAATAGAATACTATTCAGTCTCCTGGAAGAAAAAGGAAATCATGCCACGTGCAAGAAGATTGATGAAGCCGGGGCACATTATCCTAAATAAAGTAAGCCAGACACAGGACAAATACTGTATGACCACACTGTCACTGAAGCATCTTAAGAGTTAATATCAGAGAAATAGAGATTATAATAGTGATTTATGGGAGCAGGAGAGTGGGAAAATGGGAAGGTATTGGGAAAAGACCACAAAATTCCAATAATACAAGACAAATAATTTCTAGCCATCTACACTTTATTATTAACAATATCATATTACATACTTAAAATTTTGCTAAGCTATCTTATGATATGCTTTTATAATGAAATAATAATAATAAATAAGCAGAAAGAACCTTATAGAGGTGATAGATGCACAGACTGTGCTGATAGCTTCACAGACATATGTTTATTGCAAATTCATCAATTTGGTATATTAAATACGTGCAGCTCTTTGTATGACGGTACCTCAGTAAGTGGTTTTAAGACTGAGCTAGCCAGGCATGAATAAGTGGTTTTAACAACAAAAAGATTAGAGAGTCTTCATAGAATGTAAAACTGTTGCACACACAATACTTCTAGTACAAATTTATTTCCTTTTTTTTTTTTTGGCAGAACCAGGGATTGAACTCAGGCCCTTGCACTTACCAGGGAAGTGCTTATTCTACTGAGCCATCTCCCCAGCCCTGCTTTATTTCCTTTATCTACACAGTGTTCCACTTTCTGATGGAAACTCAGGCATCACAATTATTCGGTTTACCTAGAGCCTGGCTTGTAAGGGGTAGAGCTAGGTGTCTAACACCAAAACCTATTCTCCTTTTCAATTGTTTCTACCAAGGCCGATCATTTATGGCATGTTTTACTCTTAGCATTTCTTCCACTTCCACCTTCCAAAAGTTTTCTTGGAAGGTGTCTCAGTTACTCTTCTCTGGTTACTGGGACAAAATGTCCAACACCCAAAATGAAGGAAAGAAAGGTTTATTTAGCTCACAGCTAGGGGAGGTTTAGTTCATATTCAATTGGCTCCAAGGCAGAGTGGCACATGGCAGACAGCAGCATTTCATGGCAGCGGCAAAGAGCAAAGAGCTAGCTAGCCTCTACCCACTTCCTTGTATTTGAATGCAGAATATTTGCCCCAGGGCACTCACACACATAATCCTGGCACTGGATCATGAATTAACCACAAACTAGAAGCTGCCCTATTACTGCATGAGGCTTTGGAGGGACACTTAGATACAAACCATAACAGAAAGGGACATAGAAATTAAGAAACAACCAAATTATTTGAGTGTATAGTACTGATCGTGTACGCTCAAGACAAGCATGCTTTGATCAACATATACTGTTCTATTTCTTCAAAATGTAATGCTGAGAACAGTTTCAGGACAGAGGAGGCATGAATGTATACTCACTGAGAAACTTATTAGGGAAAAGTGCAGTTCAAATACAGCTTTCTCAGAGTTAAAGACATCATTATACAGTAATACTTGTGTACCTATTTTTATAGCAATACAATTCATAACAGCTAAATCTTGGAAGAGCCTATCTGTCCATGGACAGATGAATGGCTAAAGAAAATGGGGTATTTATATGCAATGGGGTCCCACTTTACCATAAAGGAGGATACATAAGTCATATGTAGGGAAATGGATATAATGTGAGATAAATCTGACATACAGATTTAAATATAGCATGGCTTCTCTTACATGAGAATCCAAAGTATAAATAAATTATAGAGAAAAGTAAAAGATAGCCAACAGGGAATACTTACACTTTTTCCAAATGAGAATGGGACCAAGCAAGATATAGAGGGGGGAGGAGGGAGAAATGAAACCAAAAGAATGGCGATGTATTATGTACCTGTACCACAAGGGGTGTCATCACTGTGCACTGCAAACATGCACTAGTAAAGACTTTTAAATTAAGTAATACATATCTATTTCTCCCTTGGATATGCTTAGCTAAAACTTGATGGCATAGCTCCCGTGGACCTCAGGGAGCTCAGACTGCACCACTGGCACAGCCATTCAGAAACCCCAATGTTTCGGCATCTAATCTGACCTTTTGAAGCCTCAGGCATCTGGTTTGAGGATGTGATTTTGAGCACAATCTTACACAATCAAATCATTGTATTATTAAAAGCCTAATAATACAGATGGACACACTGGTCAGTGTTGGTTGGTAGTGGTGTCGCTGTGACCAGTGGGGTGTGGATAACATAGTTTCCTCTCATTTTCTTGAGGTTATGGCAAAACAAATTTAATTTTAATTTTAAATTCTACTAAAATGCGTTCTTGGGCAACAATCACCAATTAGCACCCCCTTCTCCGATAGAGGTATGGGGTAGCTTTGCTGCCTTGCTTCCATCAGAAAATTACTTCAAACTTTTAAAAACTGAAATTAAAAACTACAGACCACACATGTGCAAAGTTGTCGAAGCCTTGTCCAGGTGAGCCAGTCTCTGCAGCGCATCCGTTTCCCACAGAGGAACGCTGTACTTTATGATCTGCTAGGACAGCTTTTCAGAGAAGCTGGGACGCCGCCAGGCTGTCCCCCAGTAGGAAGCCTCATGAAATGAGGTCCACACCGCCATCCACCGGCCTCTAGCAGGTGTCACAGACAGCGGGAGACGCCACGGCGCGCGAAACTGGGCTCCTGGGGACCAGACCGACCCGGCACAGCCTCAGCCCAAGGCTCTGCGCTGAACGGCGCTGTCCTTACCGAGTGTAGCTGGGACCCTCGCGCAGCGAGCGGCTTCTGTGGCCCCAGTGCCTTAAGGAAAGACGGCTTCAACTCTGGTCCTGCGGCCTCGGGGCTGTGGGGACCGTCCTGTGGCGCCCTTCCTTTCCTTTTCCCCACCCGCAAGAGGGGCAGAGCTGTCCTTTCCCAAGACTGGACCGAGCGCGCCTAACCCAGCTGCACAGAAGCTGCGCTCCGGGCGCCGGCGGTGCCTGGACGGTACGGCCCGCCCGAGAGAAAGTTGGCACGCAGGAGTCCCGGGCGCCCAGGGCGCTGCGGTGGCCGGTCCTCTGCGCCCAGCTCAGGACGTCACCCCGCGAGAAGCTCAGCCCCGAGCCGCGCGCAGAGAGTGGCGGTGGGTGGCGCGGAGCCCCAGGCGCGCCTGCAGGAGCTCACGTCTGGGGCGGGCGAGGCGGTCCGGGCTGCGGGCTCCCGGAGCAGGGCGCAGAGGCCCGCGGGGCCACGGGGCAAGTCCCGACGGCCTCAGTTCCAGCCGCCCCGGCGCCCGCGCGCGCCCAGGTCCACTAGCTGCGGGCGGGGAGCCGAGCGGAGCGGGTGCGCACCCCGCAAGGGGGTGCTAGGCGCCCGGGTAGCGGAGCGGGACCTACAGACCCAGCAGCGCCGACTCTGAGGAACCCCTGCCCGGGACCCGGGACTCGCACCCCGGGCCGACGGCCAGGGAAGGAGGCGGTACAGGGAGGGCCGAGGGCGGGAAGGGGTGACCCTGAATTGGCCAGGACTCGGGAGCCCCGCAACCCGTCTGCTGGCGGGCGGAATGCTGATCGCGGCTCTTACCCGCTTCGGGGCAACGGCTGGGTGGTGGCGCTCTTCCGGAGCAAGGCCGGGGCACCGTTTCGTGAACATGTCTCGCCTAATCCTGCTCGCTGCTCTCTTGGTCGCTTTGCTCTCCTCTACGTGTCCCTTACCGATGCCTTTCTCTTCCGTCAGGAAGGAGCAAGTTGTACTTCAAGGACAGGAGCTTCATATTTTATCTGTTCGACAGACCCACCCGCGGACCACTCCCTCCCTCCCTCCTCTCACATCTTGGGCCCTCCCCAGAATAACCCTTGATGACAGAGCCCCCTTGGCCCCCCCTGCAAGGAAGTCACTCTGGGGAAGCAAGCTGAAAGCAAAGGGTCTGCTGAACGTCCCCCAGGTCCTACCCTCCCGGGGGCAGCAGAAAAGGGCAGGAAGGTTAAGGTTCAATCAGTGAAAGAGAACGGTGGAAAGAAGAGTTTCTTGTTTCCAAATTCTGCTTATCAGATCCTACATTTCCTTTTCGCCAGTGTAGACAAACAAAAAATCAAAATAACTGCAGATACTGAGAATTAAATTGTTTATTGGGGTTTTTTTGGTCTTTGTTTTTTATTTTACTTTAGAATTAAAGTTTTGAAAGCAAGCATTATTGCATTAGGCAAATGGATTTTTTTTTTTTCTAGATTTTGTAAAGAAACTTTATTTCCAAGACTACCTGTGTCTTTCCCAGGCTGCAAGGACAGAGTAGAGCCCAGCCTTGGACTATAGCCCTCCTTTGGGTTTTTCTGAAGTAAGGAGGCAGGAAGCACTGCCCGACCTTCACAGGCAGCCTTTTCCCACGGCAGCACAGGGACATCGCTGGAAATACCCGAGCTGCAAAGATAACTTTATCACTCGATATTCAGGACACTTGTTAAATGTTTGGGGAGGAAAGGAGTTCACTGAGGCTTTCTTAGAAATGATTTTTAAATCCAATTTCAGTCAAGATCTTAAAAGAAACATAAAAAAGTATTCATTAGGTTAGAGAACAAATCTCTCATTTAGAGGAGGTATGTACGGTCAACAAAGTACGCATAAGGCACCTGATCCTTGACTACTAAAAGTTACATGTTTGTGAAACAGGGGAGGAAATCAGTATTTTGTTTCTGAAAAGAGTTGCAATGTGGAAAATATTGCATTTGTCAATGGTTTTAAAACTGATTTCTTGTTTCTCTAACGTGGGACTCCGAATGCAGCATCTAGCAAGTTAGTAATAATTCAATAATTGAGATTATGTGCAGGCATCATATTCACATGCATTTGATTTTTACTTCCTACCAGTTGCTGTGAGGTAGGTGCATTTGTAATCTTTATGTCAGCGATCAGAAAGCAGACGAGGTATAAGAGGTGAAGCCATGTTGGTATGCTGGGCTGTATAAAGGGCTCAGGTCAACAACTTCTGACATTGCCAGTCCTGCGGATGACTCACTACTATTATGGACTACTGGACTATATTGCATTATTTTGCTAAATTCACCCACCTACAATATTTAAATGACAATGGAATACCCTTCTCTGATAAAACTAAACAAAAAAAGGGATACAAATGTATCTGTATATTCAAAATAGGATAGATATACAGCTATATTTTCTTAATGCAATGAATAAGAAGATTTGTTCTAATAGTGTTTGTGGACAGGATGTCATGTCTGCATCTTGTACAATGAATAACCACTGAGAAAAAAAAAATGCAGACAGTGTCAGAGAACCCAAGTCAGCAGCCCAACGTTATGTGGTGCTTTCCTGGAGACAGTGATTTCAGGATTCCATTCTTGCTGAGATACTGCCACACTCTCCCACCCCTGACCCAGGGTTTCCCATAGGAGAATCAAGCACTCAGCAGATTCGGCTGCCCTGATACCAGCAAGCACAGTCTTTTTGGGCCAGTCTGTGAAATGATCACTGACTGCATTCAGGCAGCAAGGCTTCTCCAGGCCTTCTGAAACCATGCATGAGCTTCTATTCCCTTTCCTTTCTTTTCCACCTTCTGCCCTCTGGTGGAGGTGGCTACAGAACTATGAAATTAAAGTAGCTAAATGAAGGATTTGAAATAACCAGTGTGGTTCCGTCTCCCTCCCTCTTCCATTACTGCCCAGTATTCCTCTGAGGACTAAAGCTGATGGCACTATAGTGCAAAGTATTCCTTATACTTCTTTGTCAAGAGTCCAACCAAGAGCACCAGAATGAATGCGTGAGGTAAGTGTTCATTGCCTGAGGGTAATGATACAAAAGGTGAAGGTAAAGGTGCATTTTTGATGAACTTTTATAATGCAAGGAATAAAAACATTAAATGGCTCAAAAAATATTCAAACTAATTTGAATATGAAATGTGTTCACCGTAATCTTTAATGGACTGTTTCAATTTAAAGTAAATTTTTTTTTTTTTTTTTTTTGTACCAGAAATCAAACTCAGGACCTCTCACTTTTTTTTAAATTTTGTTTTATTGAGAAAAAAATAACACTGAGACAGTTTCAAAGCTGATTAATAGGACAGTTTCAATAATTAATACACTGCACATAGTTATCTTTTCAGTGGTTAGCCATAGTACAAGAAGCAGAGAGGATATCATGTCCAAACACTATTACAACAAATCTTTCACGTTGAATTAAGCAAAAGTAGCTGTATATCTATCCCAACTATTCTGTATATACAAATAGAAAATGGTCCTTCCTTTGTATCCCCCTTTTTTTGTTTAGTCCTATCAGAGGTGGGTATTCTTTCGGTATCTAAATACTATAGGTGCTTGAATTCAGTAAAACAATCCAACACAGCCCAGGAGCCCACAATAGTAGTGGGTTATCCACAGAAGTTGTTGACTAGAGCCTTTCACAGCTCAGCATATTAATATGGCTTTATATATCTCGTTTTTATACTTTTCTTCGGGATGGTTAAGACTAAAATAAAGCAAGACCTCTATAACATGAAATGTAACTTTTATATCTGATAAGATCAGTCAAGTCCCCTCAGGTTTATCCTGTAACCCTGTACCACAGTTTGTACCCTGTACACAGATTCTTTGTCAGTGTCAGCCATGTGGATGAGTCATGGCCATTGCTTGACCAATTTGCTCTCTGTGAAAGCCTGAGAGAAAGTTTTCTCTCTGTGTGACTCTCCTTGAGGATCTCTCACTTGTGAGGCAGGCACTGTGCTACTGAACTATATCCCTGGCCCAGCCATTGCATTTTAAAAATAAATTACAAAAACATTTCTCCATTTTTGAAATCTTTATTGTCTAGTATTTAAAACATGTATCCAACTAGACACAAGGAGCATCAAAAGATGAAGTAAACATTTAATAATAAAAATGGTATTCCAATAAAAGACACATTACCAAGAACAGTGGGATAAGTGTGTTCAAAATGCGAGGGAGTATTTTGTATAGTTTGAGGTGAATAAATGACAATGGGTTTTACTGTAATACATTTTTTAAGTTATATTTTTATCATCTGTTGAGCAAATGTTTGTGGCAATTTCTGGCAAATAAAATATTCTGTACCACTTGTAATTTTTTGTTTTAATTCTAATTTGTGCTTTCTTTAAAATAAATAAATAAAATATTATGGCATATCCCATCTACCTTATTCACTAAATCTGGCACCATGCAGCTTCTGCCTCTTTTCCAAAGTTCAAAATGACCATGGAAGGTAAAACTGAATCAATTTAGGACATTGAAGCAGTCATGGCAGCTAAACTAATGACATTCATAAAAGAAGACCTCCAGAACTGCTTCAGAAGGTGTCGAGAATGATGGGACAAATGCAGCACACTTCATTCTGAGGGGGAGAGTGATAATACTTCCTATTGCAATAAATTTTTAAAATTTAACTGTTCACCATAGATTTTAATCACATCTCATAGATCATTTAAAAGAAAAACATTAAAGGGACTTATGGGGAAATGAATTTAAATATAACAAATATGCATCTGGAAAGAGCAGACTGGATGACAGACTGAAATAGATAAGCTACCCCAGAGCTTACTATGTGCTGTTCATTTCCCCTCTAGGATTTGCTAGCTGCAAATGAACAAAAAAATCTCCTCTCCTCATGGACCCCTCACTCTGATGGAATAAGTACATTACATCCATTATACAAATACATCTATGTCACTATGGAAAAATATAAATACATTGGGAATACTCTTAGGGGAAAAATGTAACATTTTTTGCTCAGATATGAAGATGCAAAGTTTGAAAATAAAAATTAAAGAGCAGAGTACAAAGCAGGCCAACTGGAAACCTATGTGTCATAGAGAACTTTATCTTAAAGAAGGAAAACAAATCCATACCTTTTCTAGCCTGATGATGCCTTTAATATATATAAGTATCTTATTGTAGTTATAGGGGGCTTGCCCCTTAGCTCAGTTCTTTAAGTGGCTGCTTCAACAAAGTAGTCAGGCTCAGGTTGCTGTGGTTCGATCCCCACAACTCAAGCCAACCAAACCTACCCTGAAGGCGCTCGGAGAAAAAAAAAATCCTTACCCCCTTATTGTAGTTATATTGTTTGCAGTACCCAATACTTCTGGCAAAGAAATATCCTAGTCCAATGTACCATAGCATCCACCTGAAAAAAGGCAAGGAGAATTGGCCCTATAGGAAATTTCAATACAATTTTATCACTCGGTATGCCTAGTGATACAGGGGGTCACAAACAGCAGCATGAATGCCTAAGTGCCTTACCTTTGGCTAGCATCCTGCCTAGTCTTCCAGGGACAGTACAACTAAACAACAGTGACCACATAAGCAAAATGTTAGAATCTTCAGATCATGAGATTTTTTGACTAGTGGATCAGATTGCAAGAGATGCCTTAAGAGTTATGACAGATGCCATGTTCCGGGAATGATATAGAGGAAATCAGAGTGCAATTCTTTTCTGAAATAAAAAAAGAATTCTCAGAACTCATAGCATCTGAAGTAAAGAAGCAACTACAGAAACATA